AAAAGTTTTACAAAAAGAAATAAATTTATTCTAGAAATTCAATGTACGAAAAGCGGGGTGTAACAGTTTGGTATCAGAGCCCAAGTTTTGTGGTTCTGTAGACTTGTAAAATATTTTAAAGTATTTTCAAGAAATGACCACTCGCCACCGTCGCACCATGCCAACTCCGAGGTAAGCTATTTGAGTTAAGTTATTATTACGTGCATAATAGAATTACATGAGTTGGGGCTTAAGATTCTACCCATGAATGGATTCGAACTCTAGAGATGATTAAACATAGTGAGCTTAGAAGCAAGCGATTAACTCTAGTATCTTCCAGAAATGGCAAGAAGAAATCAAAATGTAGTGCCACCGGCCAACGGCAGGGATCAAGCTAAAATGATGGGCCATTTTCGAAAGATGGATCCGACAATTTTCACTGGAAAAGAAGGACCGGCACATGTGGATGAGTGGTTCATGACCATGGAGGATATATATGAGGTATTAGGTTGCACCAATGAGCAAAAGATAACGTGCGGTCAATACCAGCTGAAAGAGGATGCTAAGAGGTGGTGGACCACCTATTGGAGGACAAAGCCAGCGGACGAACGCACGAATTTGACCTGGGAGAGGTTTAAGGAGATCATGGCAGAAAAGTACTATCCCCAACACTATCGCGAGCAACTGGAAAGTGAATTCTGGAACTTAACTCAAGGGAGCCTAACTGTGGATGAGTATGAGAGGGAATTCACTAGGCTAAGCTATTTCGTGGAGCACCTGGTGGATTGGATTTTGGAAATTTCGGATAATATTTATTTTTAGGGATTATGATCATTGTCTATATGTTCTTCGTAAGCATGCATGTGATGTTGTATTGATAATTAGATGGCGATCATCCGAGCCACACAAACCGTTCTAGGACCAGGTTGTCGCACGTCCCGAAAGATCCGTGAGTTCCGACAGTAAGGCTACGACTCCCAGAAAACCGTTGGAGCGAACGTCCAAGAGATATTCGAGTTATGGGAAGGTGCAAGAAAAATGGGAAAGGATAGGAAGATCAAGAAAGATGCACTGTCCCATTGGGATGACTGCAAGAAGCTACTCACCGTGTTGCCACTGGAGTGGAAGGCCGATGTCAATACACTCTATATAAAGCTAT